ATGGGGAGAGGAGGGTAGAGAGAGGGAGATAAAATTTCTCCAGTACAGAAGGCCTGTTGATCTGTTAAACTGCAGGTGAATTTTGAATATCATATCTGGCTCACAGTTTGTCAGAAAAATTAACTTCACTCCTTATTGGTTATCATAATGTGAAAGTGGCACCAGAAAATCAAGACCCAGTCCCACTGAAATCAGTGATGACCCTAATTTCAATAGACTGCAAAGTTTTTGAGTCATTTGCAGATTTACCCTGTTTCCCTTTCCTGGTTCACATTTTAAGACCTCACAGTATGTGGGCACACAAAACTGCATTTTTCCACAGCTAACTATTGCCTGGATCATGACATATCTCTAAAATAAAAAGTAGCTGGTATTTTTTTTTAAACTCGGGCTGTGATGTGTGCCCCACTCAAGTCAGTTTGAAATCCCACCTGCAAAGATGTATTTTCACAGATGTTAAATTTAAAAATCTATGGTATGTGGTACTGCCATCTAGTGGCCTACTTAAGCATTTACCTTTCAATTAAAGAGATGTTGTCAAGGTTCATAGGACCATTTTTAACTAACCAGTACCTCTTATGTTTTTCTCTATTGTCTTGTGATAACTTGTGTGTGCAGATTTTGTTCCCAAATTGCCTTGGTGCCAATAAGCAACACAATGAGTCTGACATTTCTAATAAGAAACCTGTGTGTGCGTAAAAATAAAAAAGTACATTATAGTAAACAAAAATCAGTTTCAGTTTTATACAGGGTTGTTATAAACACCATTGAGAAAATTAAGATAGTCATAGTGAAAGATACCTTAACAGTATGCCCTTAAAATCTATTAAATATGGAGTACTGATAGTACTTTGCTTTCCTGTATTTGATAGCCGTGACATTGGCAGGTAGTATTAATTTTGGCCAATACTAAAGTCAATGACTGTAATGTGCCACAGGTTGAGATGAGCCATTCAGTCTAAAATCTGATGAGCTGATACATGGCTATATATAAAAAGGCACCTATGAAAGTAACTAAAAACTTTTTTGCCAAAAGAGTACTGTATAAAGGCTAATAAAAGCATAGTTAATTAGAACACTATGGTAACAGCAGACAACCTCTAAAGAAGATTTAAACACTGTGTACCTAGTAACATCCCCTGAAAATGAGGATATGGTGCAGTTAGGCAATAGTGAACTCTTTCTGGGCAAGATGCCTTACCACTGTTTGTGAAACCAGCTCCAATAAGGAAATTGTACCCCAGGACTCTCCACTGTGGAATCATGAATGTCAGCAGACTTACAGCTCCATATGCAAAGTTGCAAGGAACAGCTTTTCCTTTGCATGTAAGACCACACTGTGATAGATTTGAGGCATAAAGGTAGGTTGGTATGTCATAATGATATTTTGGCTTTCATCAGTCCAACCAACAGAGCAGCAGTTAAAAAACAAAACATAATTTTTGGTGGCATATGATGATATAAACAAATAGTGCCTTTGATGCCTTTGATAATGAACCTGGATAAAACATTTAGGGTAAAAATCAATCCCATGAATATAACCTTTTCCTTCTGTCCACTGAAAATCTGAAATGTTAAAGCTAGAAGATTGCTGTTGTATAAAAGTAGTCAATACTCATTTCTGGAAGCATCTTGACTAGCGAAATCTTCTTCCCTTCTGCATTGGAGGTAGCATTACTGTCAATATGCAAGTTTTTTAGGTATCTCCCATGAAAATTCATTTCTTCCAAAGTGACCATAACAGGCAGTCTTCTGATAAATGGGCTTCTTTAAATCCAAATCCCTAGTGTTGAACAAAAAGAAAAGAAATGCTTTATTTTAAATGATAATGTTATATATTGTTTTTAAAAATCCAATAACTACCTTTTTCAACCATATAGGCTACCTGCAACCTTGTATAATATTGAAGTGCAAATGTATACATGACTTTCTCCCAAGGAATGACTATAAAAGCTATAAAAATTAGTCTGAAGTCTTTGATGACTAGAAACAAAGCCCAATGAAATTAAAGGGAATTCTGAATTTAGGCAAACAAATGGAGACAAATTTCAATTAATTTATTTGGTGGGAAAAAATCTCCATTTTTCAAGCAGCTCAAGTAAAACCAAGTTAACAGTACTGGAAATTTTATCTAATTCAACTCCACATGCCACAGAATACTCTGTAACTTTATTTACCCCAGCAGAGGACCAAACTCTGAGGGGGTGACTACCAGCTAAGCGCACATAATTCCAAAAGAAAGTTAGGTATAACATCTTACCCCTTAAAAGATGTAGCACACTGCGTGGTTCATAAATACGTATGATCTGTACAAACTGTCAAAATAACATTTTTATACTATGTGATTCAATTCGATAGTAGCCAAGTGGTTGGACAGGCTGATCTAGGATGTTCTTTCCATCTGGAAAGTCTATACACCTGTGAGGAGGACTTCCAGCATGTATACACTTTGTTTTTCTCACATGCTTACCTTACAATGACTCCAGGTCGAAGATCAAAGTTCTTGTGCACAATACCTAACAGCTCTCGTTCTGTTTTCTGGGAGGTTCCGTAAGTGAACAGTGAAATAGAGAGTGGCTCAGCCACTCCAATGGCATAAGAAACCTTTGGCACAAAGAAAGAGTGGTAAGGAGCATGTGGCCAGTAGGATACATAATAGAACAAAACATTCTTATAAGGGATGGGTGAGTCATCTCAGAAAAAATAAGGGCTTTTCCTTCACTTCCTGCTCGCTGCCAACTTTTGCTCAAATTGTAACAACACTCAGAGGTTCTAAATTCTTTGGAAACTTATTGTGTTTCCTAGGACCTTCTATGTACCTTATTCACCAACAGTATTATCTCCAGTGATTATTTCATTGACATGGCCAGTCATACACTGGATCTAAATCTTCAGTCTGAATTAGTACAAAGTATACACAAGCACCATACTTCTTTCCTGTTGCCTAGGCAGCACCAGAGTTTATCTGTCCATCTATGCAGCTATTTCCACTGTGACAGTACATGTCAGGATAACTTCCAATAAATAAGCATAAAAGGCTGGGGTTTTGAAAGCCTGGCAGAAAACAGATCTTCCTTTCTTCTTTCCTTTTAAATTTATCAAGCTTCCATCCTTCCAAACACTTCTAATTTCTCACACCACTTCAGACATTATCACAACTATGGTAGCTAAGACATGCTGCTTGATCTCTTCTACATAAACACATTTTAAGGGAGATTTTTAAAGGAAAGGGTAAAAAGGAACAATTTCTGTTTAAAAAAAAAAAAATCAAACATACTTGAACTAGAACACGACGACATAGACCAGCTTTCACCAATGATTTAGCCACCCAGCGAGCTGCATATGCTGCCGATCGATCAACTTTTGTATAGTCCTTGCCTGAAAAGGCACCACCTCCATGAGCTCCCCATCCACCATATGTGTCCACAATGATCTTTCGACCAGTAACGCCAGCATCACCCTGAGATATTAACACAAATGTCACTTCTTGTGCATTTATTAGCCAGAGTCTTTTCTTCTTTTTCCTTGTGGAAAAAGAATTTCACAAATTAAATTCTACAGGTGAATTCTCTCAAAAGAATCATCTTTTAAAAGTTCTAATGACCACAGTAATTTCCTTGCAGAAAAGGAAACTGCCTGAAATCAAGATATTCCTGGGAAATGACAGTAGCAATGAAGTTATCTCACTGAATTAAAATGGGGGGGGTTTCTATTGATATAACAAGGGGGAGATCAGGTTGTCATTTGCTCAGAGGTCATTTGATTATGCTGGCTACTTTGTAAATATATAGGAAAACATATTCCTTTTACCAAATTGATTTAAAACCAGGTACAACAAGTAGAAGCAACATACAAGATATGAAGAGAACAGAGATGGGAACATAAGGCTACAGAAATTAATTATGAGCAAACCTAATGGTTCTGAGTCATTTAAAGTTTATTATTGTATAAGATAGGTGGCCAACCTGTGGCACACATGCCACTAGTGGCATGGGCAGCTTCTGTGTGTGGCACACAGCAGATCAGGGAGGGTCAGGGAACATACTGGCAGATAGGGCAGACAGCAGAAATCAGAGCAGCAGAACAGACAGGAAGCACAGGATAAGGAGCAGAAAGACTGAATTCTGGGCACTGAGTATAGGGCAGGGAACAGGAAACAGGGCATGTCTACATGTGCATTTACACCGACTTAAATTTACTGCACAGTAAGCAGGAATAGGCCGGCATCTACACGTGCAGGCATTAAAGCACATTAATGCTGTATGTAGACTGACTTGGGACTAAAGTTGGAAATACATGTATTTCATCTTTAATAAAATCTCCTTCCATCTGGAACTAGTCTTTTAGACTCAGAATTAATTTATAACTTATATTTGTAGTGAATTCAGACCTTACATTTTCGTTGCAACTGATTGTGTCATCACAAATGGAAGGCCTGAATTCAGTAAGTTTCAATGAGAATGATTAATATGTTTCATGAACTTAACTTACTTAATGGAAGGACCAAGTAAAAGAGAATGAGATGGGGATGTGAGCCGCGTGCATTCAAACGTGGATCACTTGTTAAAGTATCTAAACTAAAATACACACATTTATAAATTGTGTGAAAGGTCACTCTAAGACCAGTTTTAATGTGAATAAATCATCACTAGGTGCTGCTAAGAAGATGAGACTAAGAGGTAAGGAGTTTTTGGTGATATCATTTACTGGACAAACTGTATAGTTGGGAGAGATGTTAGAAAATTTATTGGGCACAAAGTACCTTTCTTCAGGTCTGAGAAAGAAGGAAGTGCAGCCTAATCTGCCAAAGCATGTGTTAGCGTGGCTTCAGACCCCGGGAAATAAACACCCCTCACACCTCCACCCCTCACCCCTCCACACCTTTGCCTGTGGCTGCCCTCCCCTGCCCCTGCTGGATCTGCAAGAATACTTTTCCCCGCTGAATGGCCTTGTTCTTTTCCATAATTAGGTTATTCATTCAACTAAATTTCTCTTGCTTTGAAACTATTTCTGATAACTTTTCTTTGCCCCAAGTTTAAAGTCCTCCCACATTCCCTT